GATCCCCTGCCTAGGAACGCGCGAGTATCATGCAAAAGGCAGGCGTGGATTTACTTGCTTTGTGATTGAGAGTTTCAACCCAAAACCAACGGAGTTTCAGTGGGATTTAGATGCGATAATGATGAAGCAAAATGTTCCCGGATTTAAACCCGCCAAATCAGGATGAACAATCTCGGTATTGAACAGTTGAAAATCCTTCGTAAGCTTCTAAGGCGAGGCGAATTCAGAACGACCTGAAGGAACGAGTCCAGATGCTCTTCGCAAGAGATGTTTTCCAATTGCACGATCGAATATGTACTCGACACATAGTCTCTCGTCAAGCGTGCTCAATCAATCTCTTTCAGTATTACCGCATCCGATCATTACATATTACAGCCACACCCGCATAGTACAAAAATAGCTCGGGCACCAAACATCGCGCAATAAAGATAGCCGCTTATCGATGAGCGGTGGGTGTGCGCCGGGCAGTGCCTACAAGACACCTCCGACGGCGCTCCCAGCGGGAGCCATGTGCGCGGGACCGTCACTCGCCTCTTGGGGCACCGCGACAGGGACCGAGGGCACGTCCTCGGTCTTGGCTTCGTGGGACTTATGGTGGGCGTGTCCGTGCGGGTGGATGATCTTGTCGACGATCGCGCTGACGCCGTGTTTCTTGTGCGGCTCCTTGGAGGGGACGTCAGGGCCTGAGGGAGTGGAGTCGACCGCGCCGGGCACACGTACCTCTGCGATCACCGGGGCAGTGGTGGTCGTGGTGGTAGTGGTGGTAGGCTGGAAAGAAAGGGATCAGCCATGAAGAGAGAAAGGAAGTCGGAGAGAGCGTACTTCAACTTGAGTGGAGTCAGTCATCGTAGAGTGGATTAGCTGGGAGATGCAGTCGGGCGATGCGGCCTTTTATATCTTCGGGCTGCCATCATGACACAAGAGTTGATATCGATGTTGCATGTGCTCCCCACCATGACCGGTGGGTGCTTGTGATAAGAACTAGTCTCATTAATTCCGTATTGCATGGTGATCTTGAATGAATAGAAGAATAGAGACACCAGTCCTCCCGTACAACGTATGAATATTTCGAAGATATTCTCCTGTGCATACTTCTCATTTCACCTTCTACGATTCTCAAAAACTGGACGGATACGCACGGATCGTCTTGTGAGATGTTGTGACGTCATTATACGTCATTCACTCTCTACGATCATGTGATCGTCCAGCAATTGTGGGAACCTTCCAGTACGTTCCTAACAGAGTGAAAAGTGAGTGAACTCTCGAGTTTAGCAGCCAAGTGCAATAACCACGTGCGCAGAGCTCCTTTCACAGAGGGGTGCCCAAATCATCGCGATCAAATGGATCAGTTCCATCACTTGCATTGACCGCATGTCCCGCCCACCCCCACCCCCACACACAGCGCAAGCTGCACGGACCGCGCCCACCATGCCCCTCCCCCAATTAATCCACCCGAACTGCCTGCTCTCCGTCTCGCACGACGCCGACGACGGACTCGTGAGCGTGCTCCTCCCGCAGCAGCGCACGGACGGCTTCCCCGGCCAGATCTTCCACGCGGCACGCCTGAGCGAAAAGGTCGTCTTCTCTCCGCTTCTGCTGGATCCGCACGTGAATCTGGCGGCGGGCACGGGCAAGGTGTTCTCTGGGTGCCTGAGCATGGAGGGGCCCGCGCAGCAGCTGCTCGGCGGCCCACAGCCTCAGCTGGTCCAGTGCGCGCTGGCGGTGAAGGAGCAGGTTTTGTCTGAGACGCATGGGCCTGGTGGTGGGGTGCTGAGGTGAGTCTGAAGAGGCTCCGTCGTCGGTGTTGGCGGCTGAGATGTAGCCTTGAAGAACGGTGTGCGTGATCCGTGGCGAGGGGGAAACCCTCGAATTCACGTTGACGCGGTATGAATTCCAGAGAGTTGCTGGCGACTGGGTCATCACGGTGCGTCTGCACTCTGCGCACCATTGCTCATGTTCCCGTGTGCCAACCATGTGTGCAGATCAGCGTGGGCCAGCGCGTGCTGGGCGGCCTCCAGGCGCATGCGGACGGTGTGTTCTGGATTGGCACACCGGATTTACGGTACCCGCCGCATGGGCGCATCTTCGCCGTCGCTGCCGCTACACTTGTGGGGCCAGATCTGAGGGAATTGCCCTTTCGCCAGCCGACAGGGCCCTCGCCACAGTTGTTTCCAACGCAGTCTGATCCGTATTCTCGTCGGAGCTAGTGGGTAGATGCAACATTATTGGTTTGCTTGTGGCGTGTATGTCGACATTCCAAAACTGTCCTCATGAATCGTACAGACATTGAATCGCCGATCACTCACGATGAGGGCTGCTCCAGATCAGTCCGGCATTCATTCCTGTTTGTGCTGATGCGCGCGCTTGATTAAGTTCACGGAAGTATTATGAAACTCCACCCTTATGACACTTGGACACGCATCGAGCCCCAAGTGGGAACTTGACTGACACCCTCTGATCAAATCACAGACCCATCTTTGTGTTCAGCGTCCCACCTTTACAAATGAGTCTATAGTTCCTGATGTGCCGGCGCCATACGCCGCAGTCATCGCTTTTTGGGCGACGGAAAAGCACAGACTGCTCGGGGACGAAATCCGCTGCGTATTATCGAGTTCGCGCCGTCCACCAGCGCCCAAGCTTTTCGCGCTCTGCTGTAACATCGAACGCGCCCTAAATCCGTATCAGATCGAATACTCACCAATCAGGGAGTGACGGGTGACAGTGTGACTCTACTTTGCGCGCCTTGGGCCGCTTGGCACGTCCTTCGGGCCGTCAACAAATTTGACATCCGTGCCGGAACGCCAACGATTCTATGCCTGTCACGAAAGCGGCTCTCTCTCACTCACGCCCTCACTCCCTTTCCCTTTTCCTCTCCTCTCCTCCTCTCCCCCTTCGACTATACCGCTGCCGCGCCTCGCGTTCCCAGGCGGCCCGGATGGGAGAGACCTATGACATTCCGCTGACTCTCGGCGCGTTGTTGGTCGGCGGCTCCGTCGCGCTATTGTACGTCACCCTCATCTCAGTCGCCCCTTCAGCGCCCACTCGAAATACGACAGTCTGAGCGGAGTCGTCGCCGTGCAATGCATCATCTTCTTCAAGCTGTACCCCGGCGAGGGCGTCCGGTCGAGGGCGATGGTGTTGAGCGTGTGGTGCGTGAATTTTTCAGGTGCGCGGGGTGGGTGCGCCGGGACTCACACACATCCAGGCTGTTGGATTCGCTGCACTCGGCATTCATCGTCACGTCGCTGTATATATACTTCATCCGATTGTTCGGAGATGCTTCAAAGACCCTGTTTATTCCCTGGTGCGTGCTGCTGTGTTGATCTGCTTTTCTACGTGGCTCAGGGCGCATTTCGCAGGTCTATCGGCGTGCGTGGGCTCGTTTCATACTCAAGATCTGAAGGACTGACGAAGCACCGAAGCTGTCGGTGTTAGTAACGGTGTGTTTCTCCCTCAGCTCTGCTTGCGGCGAATGTAACTCTGCGGCTCTCTACAGGCCTTGCAAACACTCATTGTCCACCTGTATTTTGCCCGAAAGATCTTCCGATGTGCGCCCTCAACTTTTCGCCCTCTCCTCCTCTGATCCGCCCATTTCAGCGAGTGGTGGGAGCTGGTGGATCACACTGCCAATTGTAAGTGCATTGCATCCATTACATGTCCAGGAAAATCTTAAAATTTGTCAGGTCATCCTGGCGTGCTGCCGCCTTGGTCCGTCAACTAATGCGTAACTTTTCCGCTCTGAATTGTAACTGACGGGTAGCGCAACAGTCGCGGCAACTTGTGGGTGGCCTTCGCATCTATTATCCCAAATTACTAACATTCTGCAGATTCGACTGCAGAAATGTGAGTCATCGTCAGATTTGGGACGAGCTTGGCGGCTCACCGGCTGCGCAGGATCCACCTGCAGCGCTATACGGCATTCAACGATGAGTATCCTGGCGGGATATTCACCACCGGCCTGTCACTCTCGGCTGTGGTGGATGTGCTTATCACCGGCTGCCTGTGCTACTTCCTGCAGCGCATGCGTCGCAGGACCGCTTCCGGGCCGATGTCGCAGATGGTCAATCTGTTGACGCTGTATACGCTGGAAAATGGGTTGCTCACGTGGTGAGTGGCGGAATGAGCGTTTTCAAGGTCCTGCTGACACTGCTTTGAAGCCTGACAACCACGGCGTCCCTGATCTGTGTGAGTTCGTATGGTCTATTCTCTACCTAGGCTGAACGCTCGCTGTCCTGTCTAGTGGCTGGCGATGCCAAACAATCTGGTCTTCCTCGGGCTCCACTTTATCATCGAGAAACGTGCGTATTGAGCTCTCAAAAGTTGAACCGCTGTCAAACTGATCGATCAGTCTACGCCAACTCGTTATTGATCTCGCTTAACACACGGAAGGAGCTGCGCGAGATGCGATGGAACAAAAGTGGAGGAACGCGCTGGGACAAATCCGTTCCTGTGTTCACACAGGACGACTTCACGGTCCCGTACTCGCAATCCCAGTCCGGCAGCTCCCATTACGGCTACGGCCACGGCGCGAACACCGAGCTGGCCATGTCGGTCCGTGTTTTCTTTCATCTCCTGCGCGTATCTCCGCACGGAAGCTGACCGAACCGCACCGCCCCTCACAGAAACCACACTCGGCGTACCGGCCCGCGTCGAAACTCAATCCGCGGACTTTTCCTGCGACGCTGCAAGTCAGCGTCGAGCGCAGCGTGCGCCGGACGTCGGCCGATCTGTCCGAGTACGCGCTGGCATATGCGAGCCCGTACGACGAGCGGCGCCGCGGCCGGGGTGCGCAGAGGTATCAGGTGCACCGCCCCGGATCGCACGAGCCTCTGGGCGACCAGCTGCGGTCTTTGCCCTGAGGCGTGTATATACATTGTTTGTGTACCATCATTTTAGTACGATATAATACTTTGCTGTTTGCTATCATGCAGTACTTTGGAAATGTACATGCACTTCTTGTTGTTGCTGTTGACACGCCGCTGCGATTATCCTGGGAGAACTGGTCATACAGTGGATGTTCATTAAGACGATAATATCGACGAGTCCATGAGGAATATACAAAATAGAAAATGCGAGTGAAATGTGTGTCGAATGCGTGGCCGTGCAAGGTGTGCGTGCTCAACAGCAGCAAGGCAGCGGTATGATAAAACAGCATCCTCCATCTGCCAAGACCGATCAGCATCGTACTCCAACACATGAATGCACGCGGCGTGCTCCGGACACGCAACGCACCTGGACATGGAATGCATCCGCCCCGCAGCCGTTCCGATCTGCCCTCATCTGTCGTGCGCAGCGCACCGAGGCCCATCGTCGGCACCGGCGCCGGCTGCTCCGTCACCTTCGCCGAGCCCGTGTGTGCGGGAGGCGGGTACGTCAACTCCACGCGCGTGTCGCGGGGCGCGGTGGGGGCGGCAAGCTGTGTGGGGGACATGGTATGTGCGGTCGGTATATGGTCGTTTCGGTCGTAGATGTGAGGTATGGGCGCAGCACCGGGGAGGGTATTTATACCGTCCCGAGTGACGTCGATGACGCAGCCGCAGCTCCAGCGTGCACAGCCACCCATCCGGGTGATCGTTGTGGCAGCCCGCAGGTCGTCCGCGATGCGGATGTCAGAGTTGGCTTGGTATGTGTCCCTGGGTCGGGGACGAACCGAGACGCAATTGGGAAGCTCCGAAGATGAGAACGAGGAGATAATATTCGGACGTGAAACCACGTGCGTGTTCAACCTGGTCACATGTGCTTGGTTCGATTCTAAGTTCTTGTCCGTCAGAATTGCGCGCAACATGGATATTATTTCTCCTGTATAAAGAAGTTTTCCTTTCACTAAAAGATACCCAAAATGATGCATAGCCAAAAATCGACGCATATCGTGTCAAGTCATGTGAGTGTTTCATTTCGCAACGAGTCACGTGTGACAGGTTCAACGTTCGAGCGTTTGTTCGTCGCCCACCTTTTTTCTTTGGCCAGGCATCATCAACGAGATCAAAATTCTCTTGGAGGCTTGCATGCTTTGCGATGATTTTCCCGACATGGCATTAAGATTGAATATATTAACACCGTTCTGCTGACCCCGGGGCCGCGCGCGGGAATGCCGGGCACAACTATCTCAGGAGGGACACCCCAGACAGGTAAACCACTCGCTGGCTATTTAATTTTTTGGAACTACAAGGAGTAGTGGGCATGAAGTCAAGTCGTGGAGCCAACAGTAATTGAATAAGTTGCTTGGACGCCAAGTTGCAAAAATCACTTTGACATCATAGAGGATCAGACGTTTGGACTCGCGTCATACGATCGTACAACGTGCTGGATGTTACAGTCAGAATCCCTGGAAATCTTCGAGCAAACACGGACTCCGGGGCGGAGGAAAAATTCACTCGCACTTTTGGCTTCCAGTCTCTCAGGAGACGAAAAAAAGTAACATGGTTAGATCAAGGAAAGCGTTTGGAACTTCGTTTCCAGCTTCTAAGGATCAAAACAAGGCAGAGCGGATTGGATAAATAGGGCCACAGTAAGGGTCGCCCATCGATGGTCAAGGACTCTAGTGACTCGGGGGAAGGTTCCAATACATCGCATGCGTGATCGCTGGTCAGTTAGCCCCCTGATGAAAGAGCGCTCTGTTTTGGAAAGGCGTGCTTGGACCAAAATGGTGTATGATTTGCAGTAACACTGACATCCCACAAAGCGCTCTGAAGCCTGGCCGTGAGTCAAACAGAATGCACGGAAGATAGCATCGCAATTCTCAGCACTGGTGCATGTCCGGCGAGAATCCAAACGATGGTTCCAGTTTATTCACAGATGGTCTGGCGAGTCCTACAAGTACCGTTCCCTGTTCCAAAATGTCCCGTTGTGATGATCCCTAGTATGATACACGTGATTTCGGAGAGAGTGGCGGCAATATGCAGGTGCGATCCGACAGCGAAGAATGCGACGATACGACGAAGCCAATTAAGTATGATAGAGGAGGGATGGATGGACGAGTCCATCGAGATGTCCGTCGGGCATCCGGTCAGTCGGATCGCACGAGCGCATGTGGCGCGAGATCCGCCGCTGGTCCATTGCTGTGGCGCATCACGCGCTTCGGCTAGTGGGCGCGCGCGCGCGCGAAAGAGTGATCAAGGATCGCTGTGCACAACCACACCCGTTTCTGGCTCGACTTTCGTCCGCTGCGCATGCTCGCGCTCGTCCAGGTCGACGGTGTCGATCTCCGACCCGGGCGGGCCGGAGAACTGCAGCGGAATGGCGTTGAGGGTGGTGTGGTTACCGATGTGCTGGTTGCGCGTCGTGGTCGTGGGCAGGGTGAGCGCCGTCGGGCGCTGGGAGAGCCCGAGGCGGGTGTTGCGGTACACGCGGCACGCCATCACGCTGGTGAGGGCCATGTTGGGCACGGCGAGAAGCCCGTGGTAGAGCGGCGACACGGGCAGGTACACCATCAGCGTCACAAGGATGTTCGAGATGACGGAGACCCTGGAAAGCACGGATGGGTAAGCACAAGTCTCGCGAACGGGCGCGCACAACGCACATGTAGTACACCTGGCCGTCGACAAACAGCGACCGCGAGAACGACGGCAGATACTTTCCGCAGAGCAACGCGCGGAAGAGCTGCCCGTTCGTCTGGACGATGTGCGTGTTTGTGACCAGGCAGTACGAGATGGCGAGATAGACCGCCGTGTCGTGGATCGTGACCATGATGGCCGCAGCACCCACATAGGGTGCCACGCTCGTGATCAGGCAGTAGTCCGTGGGCCCGATGGGAATCGCCCGGCCGCCGATGGGAATCGTGACACTCGTGGCGAGCACGCCCAGCCACAGCGTGCCGAAGACCAAGGTGGGGATGAGCGCGCTCGCATAGACGCCGCGGACGCGGAAGAAAAACAAAAGCGCTGTCGCCGAGGTCGCGACCGGGTAAAACGAGTCGAAGACGCGGAACATGGTTGAGCAATTGCCGAGGGGGTACGTGCCGAGGAGCGTAAACCCGAGGATGTATGCGAGGCTGAAGACCCTGGAGGATGTGCATGAGCGGCCGTGGGAGCGCTGCGGCCGGCCAAGCTGCGCAGCCTGTCGTCACTACGCGGCGCACCTCGCAAACACATACGCGACAATCGGAAGTCGCAAGCGAGACCGCGTAAGCAGCTCGTACTCCGCCCTGCAGTTGTTGAGGATGTCCCAGATGGCGATCTATCCGCCCGAGGATTCAGCATGAGCCAATCTCTCCGCCCTTGGCGCGCACAAGCGACACGTACCGCAAGCGAGCCCGCACAGACGTAATCCGAGATGAGTACCTGCTGCGCAAGCGCCGGCGGCAGGAGTGTTATGCCGAGCGTACCAGGCGGGAGGTCGGCGGGAGGAGGAGGCATCCCAAGCGCGGCTGCCGCACGGCCGAGAACGGGCTACCAGATGGAGGAAGACAGGAAGGAAAAGGGCTCGAGGTCGCAGATCAATTGACGGGTACTTAAGGCGATGCCTACACGCGTTACCCGCAAATAGCCCTGGGAACCGACGCGCCCGCCTATCAGATGCGTGTGCACTTGCCATGTATGCCCATGGGGGAGGCCATATGCACGGGCTTGTGTGTCGCGGGCGCTGGGTTTCATCAGTCATCTCGAGTCACCCAAGATAGACGCAGTGCGCCGGTGACTCTGAGGGAACGGGGGACTGGCGAAGCGTGCCGGCGCTCTCACGATGGGGGTGGACTGCGCGGCGAAGTGCGGGATTTTTAGAGAGAGACGTGCGGGTTCCGCGCTCGGGGTGGACTCGGGCATTGGGTTCCAGGGGCGGGCGACGACGGGCGCCGGATGAACCGCGGAGTTGTCACTGGCCCAGACCGCGGTCTTTATTGATCGATCTGCATCAGTCCCATCATGGCAGCTTGCCGAGTGCCGATCTTGGGAGATGGTTTGTCAAGCCCCTGTCTTTCGCTCTCGCCTTCGTGCGAGCACGTTGGATAGTCCAGATTCCCAGGAGCCAAATTTTGAGAGGTCAGGGGTAGATCGCGTGCGAGCCAGCGTGTATCAGCGATCAGGTTCGGAGAAATGCGCCTGGATAGCCAATCTGTCCAGCAGCAGCAGTACACACTCGAGGCAAGTCGGCGCACCTTCGCGAATGCAGATGTGACAGAAGCGATTGTGAGCTTCGATCATTGAGTCGCGGTCGAGGATGAGCATGATAATGAATGTTGCACGATAGCTTCGAGCGGGCCAAGGAAGTCCAGCAGCAGCCTCTTTCCTGGTCGGGAAGTGTTTGGGGTCTCGAGATTGAACGTGGATAGTGTATTGCTAAGGCGCAAGGTGTGAAACCTCCACACCGGAGGAAGGCGTTGCTGAATTGCTTTGCACGTCCAATAGACTACTGGAGAAGCATCCTTATAGTGCTTTCAACGTCCAATAGACTATCTATGAAGAGAAAAGAAACTCCGAGAAGGTTCTGACCATTTGATGGACTGGTTGAGAATTCTGTGAGTTTCCATCGATGTACGCTTTTATGTACGACTGAAAGATCGATCCATCGACACACTCCTGATCCGAGCATGCACGTTCAGTAATTCCTACCACGTGGGTAATCAATCGCCTGTGTGAGAGAATGTTTTCTCGGAGAGTTGAAGCTTGTTGAATCCGATACAAACGAACGCCGGACATGATCTGCCCATTTGCAGCCCCTGCAGATCCTCATTCGGCTCAGCGCTGTCTGATCAACGACGTCTGCCAGCGAGGCTAATCTACGCGAGATCGACGTGCCCTGTAACCAGAGCAATCGCGGAGTTGTATATATCCAGCCACAGATATGCACCTCCAGCCAGGTTCATTGACGGAAAGCTTCACTCCATTACACCCCTCCCGGCTTTCTACACTACCATAAAGCAAGTCCGTCGCACAAATGGCTAACGCAAGGAGACATCTACTATCTAAGTCGGCATCACGCCTACCGAATGAGCTCACAGGAGCCAGACGCCGATACAACCGACAGCCCCCGCAAGCAGGGCCGCGAGAGCACCCGTCCGAGACGGAGACGTCGAAGGCACGCCTGACGTGGAGGAGGGCGACGACGACGGTGGCGACGACGAATTGCCTGCAAGGGCAGAGGTGGCGCTCGGCGCCGACACGCTGGCGGAGGACGGGAACGCGCGTTCGGCCGAGAGGGCCAGCGATGCGGTGGGGACCGGCGCCAGGGCCGGGAGAGCGGATAGTTCCGGGGCCGCGCCGATGTCTGGAACCGAAGGTATCAGCCCGAGCTCACGGAACGATGAGATGCAGAGGAAAGCTTGGGCGCACATTGAGCGAAAGTTGGCATCGTGAAGTTCGTCTCGACGTAGGGTTGCGTGACGTTCAGAGCAGTGGCAATTGGGACGATGTGCTGTTGAATGCGCGTGTCGTGAGGTGAATATATCGAGAGAGGTGCGGGAAGATTCTTACTTTGAATGCGGCGCTCAGTTTGGGATAGTAATTGACAGCGGTTTGCATCGTGAAATTGTCCAGTTCGTGGGTGAGCAAGATTGCGCCGACCTAGGACATGTTGAGAAACACAGTGCGACAGACAACATCGCGGAACCGACCTCTGTGAACGTGCCATTCTTGGCGTCTGCGATGAACGAATCATAGTTCGCATCGATTTGTGCCGCGGTCATGCTCCCTTCCCCGAATTGCCAGTCATTCGAGTCATACTCCCAAATGACGAGTGTCAGATTAAGCTGCTGCGCGATATATCTGATTCTGTCGTCAACATCACCCATAGGAGGCTGTCGAGGAGAGGAAATTGCATCAGCGCAATCTCATTTGGGGCGGAATGAATCCGGAAGCGGAAACCCACCCGCCAGCATTTTGGGGTGTAGCCTGTTACGAGCTTGATTGCCTTTATGGCATAATAGAGCTCTGCGAACGCGGCTTCGTTCTCGAACGCGGTCATGGCCATATGAGACCATGTGTCTAAATACGGCGCGGCGCGACAAGATTAGACACGGGATGGAGGGATGCCGTCCCGCACTCACGGACGCAGATCTGATGTCCGTCATTTGCGGCGCGCTGGGCCTGTAATGGCATCGACATGACATTCGAGCCGATGTAAAAGAATGCTGCGCGGATTTGAGCAAATCGAATTCGGGAGGACAGCTGGGGAACGCACTGGCTTTCTGCTTGTTGGAGTCCATGAAGTCCAGGAACGCATCGTGCTCGCACGCGGGCCCATCGTCAAATCCGTATCCCAGCGTTCCTGGCTGCGGGAGATGAATTAGTTGAACAGTCACAATTTCGGCGGCGTTGAAAACAGCGCACGCACCTCGGGAACACTCGCTAAATCCGGCCAGATTCCCGCTCTCGACGACTTGACGCAGTTGGAGTACGTCCACCAACAATCCGGGTCGCTCGGACTGTATGATTTGAGCACGGACGAGGGAGTCACGCCGTTTTTCCCCTTCACAGGGATATTCGGGATACTGGAAGAGAAGGATTGGAAGTGCGCCAAAGCCGCCGAGTCGCCTGAGAGCAGCTGCAGCGCCGGCTCCCAGACACCAGGGAACTGCGATAGGGCAGCCTGGGCAGGGGGATAGTCCGAGACATCGCAGTCTGAAAACGAGGGAAGAAGTGAAGGGACGGTCATATACCATTGAGCACACGATGCGCTTGCGGCAGGGGAGAAGAACACTTACGACCGCGGACAGCGCTCGGAAGCTTGAGCAAGACAACGGCTGCTGCCATCAACGTCGAAGCAGAAGGCATGGCTGAGCGACTTTAGAGTGGGGTCGAATGCCGTAGAAAGGGCTGAGGATCAGCACGACGAGGCGGAGGGAAGGGAAAGCAGAACGGGGGTTCAATGCATGTCGCCTCGGCCCATATAAGGGCCGCCCTCCAAGGACGTGGTGCCCACCGGTCACGGCGTCTTCTCTCCGCAAATCCTCGTATACGTGCGCTAAATTCAGCGAGCGTAGACATGTTAGACCGGCTTTTGCGGAGATTCATCTATTGGAGGCCGTGTCTCGAACGATGTTTGTCCTCCCTGGAGCTAAGTATGTCTCAATTGGAACGGAGCTTTGACCGGATAAGACTCAAAATAGCACGGCGAGGAGATGTCGGGAGCGGGGGAGAAGCGCCCGAAGTTTGTCACCCCCGAACTCTCTGTGCACAGATGCAAAGCCTGAGCGTCTGGCACAAGAAACTGGCATTGTTTGGCACATGCCAATCAGCGGCATCATAGCGAGCCGCGGCCCCCGACCCGCGTGGCACACTGGGTAACCCCATTTGCACTGCAGAAAACCCAAGCGATCACGTGGTCTGGTTCAAATGATGATCCTGCCGAACAGTTCGGTAGATGGAGGAATCATCGAGGAATGTCGTTTGATTGTTACGTAGTCCCTCCGAGTCCTACTCAATCGGTGCCCGATGTCTTTCAAGGACTCCACGTGTCAGCGAAATCGAGGCATCGAAATCGGCACCGTTTTGGGCACTCAGAGAGAAGAATCTTTTCAGGAAACGAAGCCTGTCGCTTGCAGATGGTTTGAACGAGAAAGAACCAGGTCCCTGCCATCGAGGGAGCAGTGACACGCCTAAAAAGGAGTGTGACGGGCTTCTTGCGCGCCAAAACGATCAACAAACCGCACGTTTTGTTATGTCAGCAAGTGCTTCCCCGCTATGCGAACGTTGGTCCAGGGATGAGAGCTTTGCCCAACGCCGTGTGGAAAGCAGGTGGTGAGCGCTTGGGAGTGCATGCATCGGCTGGTATGCGATCTGTATTCCGGAGGCTTTGAGCCAGCCAGTAGACTATCACTGATGTCCAGGAACAGAAATAGGCTTGAATGCACGATCTGAGCTGGATTTTCCCACTCCCTCATGTACATACGATGGGGCCGGGAGATGTTGGTGGCACCAGATAGCGTGTCGAATCCGGTCCCTTGACGACTGGAGAGGTTACCAGTCCGGACAGGGGACACACAGAACGCATTGGGCTCGACTCCAAGGCGGAGTTCGTCGGGTATGGGTCTGGATTCTTTCGGAGAGGGTCTCGGAACCAGCGAAGCACGGACGTCGCACGAACCTCGCTCGTTGGTCCAGTCAGTGTCCCGGCGTCGGGGAACGTGCATCAAATGTGTCGCGTTATACAGACAACTCGACACGCAGAATGTTTCCAGTGGCGACCTCTCCTACGATTCTAAATCTACACCATTTCTGCAAGTTAGGAGGCGGGGGTCGGCGGTCTTGGCTCTTGAGGACATAGCACAGAAGAAGCACGAAGGATCCGCGGTGAATTAATCGGCGAATTCGCTAGCGACGGGCGGGGATCACTTGTTTCGTCCCGCTAAAAGTGTTCAAACGGCAGTGGCTTCCCAAAGAAATCAAGCGTAAATACGGGAGCTGTGCAGGGATCTTTGAGACTGGTCATGACCATGAGTGGGAGTTTATGGGAGTGGTTCCCACGGACGGTACGAATCAATACGTTTGTTCTGCTCGGAACTTTTCCGACATGTGTCCGTCAAAGACGTCTTTGAACGACAAAGCTGTTTTTGTTACAATCTTCTCTGATGAACTGGGCAGGACATGAGTCACTTTGGTCTGTTCAATCGGCAGCGTGGATGAGGCGAGGCTGGGCACATTGCATCGGGATAACGCTGCGGAACAGTAGAAGATGTATGCCGAGGCAAGAGACCGTTGGTTACAATTGAAACCGATTCATATCGCATGAGCGGATTTGTGGAAATTATGAGTCACAGCGTTCCGAAAGCTCTTTCTCTGCTTCTTGCGAAATTGCTCGCCCAATGACCTCGACGTAAGCCTCCGAAAGTGGAGGTCACACAACATAACATAACAACAATTGCATACAGATCTCGATCGACGTGTGGTGTGCACGCCGCGCGCTTGTGTGTTTCCCCCATTTTATGCGGGCTTCCTTTCGTCGCTTAAGTCTCCTTTAACCTCTCCGTCTGTCTCTTTTCTACCTTACCAGCATTCGAGACTACCCTGGCGCATTTCCTGCCACCACTCCCAGGGCCATGACAGCCGCCAGCTCGACCGTATCTCACACAGCGTTTTCAAAGAATGACTCGGCAATTTCATCACCACCCACAGTGGCAGGCCAGTGCTCTGCACCAGCACCACCTCCAGCACGTTGCCGGCCCCTGCGAAAGGTCGCCAGTCGGCGCGCAATCGATGCCGAAGACGCCCTCAAGAAGCAGCACCATTCCTGTCCGACCTGCAAGCGAGGATTCACCTCTGCCGGCCATCTCGCACGACATGTCAAGATCCACAGCGGAGAGAAGAAACACAAATGCCCGTTCCCTGGATGCGCGACGTCGTGCTCACGCCAGGACAATTTGCAGCAGCAGTGAGTTCGCTCGCTTTCCGATCTGCTGCGGCTGCTAAGCCGAGCGCACAGCTACCGCATCCATCTTTCGCCTGGTGCAGCCGCGCGGCGCAAGTCCGGCCGTCCATCCGTCATTCGCGCAATGGGCTTCCAGCTGCCGCCCCCGCAGGACCTCTACGAAGCATCCCCCGTGTCCCCTGTTTTCTCAGCCGAGTCCGCATCATCATCCAGGTCCTCCTTCTCGTCGTCCGCTTCGTCATCCGGGTCCTCCAGCCAGCGCTCATTCTCTCCGCCCCTGACCCCGCCGCCGCTAGAAGACTCGACGCCGTACCTGCTCCGCGGCTCTGGATTCCTGCCCACTGATCCCCGACGGCAGCCGGCCACGCCGCCCCCCGCATACATCGACGTCGGGATCGCGGTCACGGGTGGCGGCGGGTACATCGAGCGGGCGGTCACCCCGGAACCCCTGTTGAACGGGTACCCGCGCCCGAAGCTAGAGGATCTGGCGGAGGATATCGAGGCCCAGAAGGGCGTACAGGCACACATGGCTGAGTTGCGCAAGGCTCAGAAGAGCGGCTGGTTTCGCGTGCGGGTGCCCGCGGACCCGCGGGCTTTGAAGGGGCTGTCACCCGAGCCCCACGCAGAGCCTGCGTCGCAGACAGCTCCGAAGACGGATCCGAAACCCGCGCGGAAGAGCAAGCAGACGCCAGCGGTGCTGCCTGCGATTGACACTTTGGGGTCGGCATTGGCGAACGCTCTGTCGCCTGCCTATTCGAAAGCGGGATCTTCTGTGGCTGCCACTCCGGCATCTTCCGCTGCACCATCGCCCGCCTTCTCGTATTTCTCCAGCCAGACTTCTCCGGCCTCCAATGTGGCTTCTCCGGCCATGGAGATCTCGTCTCCGCGCTACTCACCAGAACATCTCCCTGCCCTTGTCTCGTCCTCGACGTCATCAAGTGTGCACGCTGGAACCCAGCGCATTATAGATCTCGACGCCTATGATCGACAGGATCAGCATCTTTCGTCGCACGCCACATCCGGAGCCCCGCCGTCCTCTGTTTCGGTGCCTGTAGCTGCGTATGATGCTGATGCTGATCGACAGCGAGAGCTTGCTTACGGCAATGGCGTCTACCACCCAGAGCACGGATACTATGAAATGCATCTGGACCAGGGCCCGGATTCTTACCAGCAGCATGATCATCCTCAGCCTCGCCTCGAGCACCACGAGAGCCGCCACCACCATCAGGATCTAGCCTATCGTGGATTGCAGGCGGAGCCGTATGTCGGGGAGGGGCAAATGCGATCAGAATCGGCGTTCCAGCTCCAGTCTCCGCCTGCGGCTTGCGATGCGGTTTACACGGAGCAGCACGAGGGTCCACTCGAGATACGGTATGGCCGACAAGTGGAGCAGTATCCGCAGTATCAGCTGTCGCCGACCGTGGACTCGGGCTACTACTATGACCCGCAGCAACAGCAGCATCATTCCTACCAGCACTACTATGCGCAATATGAAACCCCCAGCAGCCCGTTGACCGTGCCCATTTCTTCTCTCCGGCGCAGCGCGCCGCAATCCAATGCCTACGCCGAGCCTACCCCCTATCTGCATCAGCCCCAGCCCGTGTCCCCGGTGGATTACTTTGGTCATGTCCAGCATGGATGGAGGCAGGTCGGGGCTCTATGACCATGACGTTTCTCCATTCTCTATTGCTATCAGTATTCCGTGCTCTCCGATCTGCTCTTCGCTTCTCTTGTATATATCGGATCCAATCTCACGTGTAATAATTGCTCACCGGCCTATCATCATCTACGTATAGTCGCTATCTCTGGTATACAACATAATATAATCGCACACCCGTGCCGCCTACGTCTGTTTCAGTAGAGATAACTGTTTCCGCAATACTTATCAAAACCGATCTCAATGGATTAATTCAACTAGAACCTCGCTCGATATTTTCTGGAGCACACCAGTAGGAATTCCCTCCGAGACGACGTCGGCTGGAACTTGACAACCAGCGAGCGAGACGAGAAATCAGCATGACGATCCCCCAGGGAACCGGCGAAGAGCTACTCCCGTTCTATCTCACACCAAAAGAAGCGTGGCTCTCCCAGCGCCTGTGCAGAACGGAGTCTGAAATGCACATGGCGGAATGCCGACATTCCAAGGTCCGCCGGAAGAATCAAAACAAGGTTATGAAATCCATGTCATTCATATGGAAGGGGCCTTCTTTCAGTTATGTACGTATGTATCTGCTTGATGACCTAGGCCTCCAGTTCTTATTTGTGACAGGGACACGCATGACGCGTCAGAAAGCCCACGTGACATCTCTCAACGCGTTGCTTGGTCAGCAAATCAACAAACCAGCACTCGTCGTCCACGGCCCTCATCTGAATCGGTCAAGCGCAACGCATTGCTGCATACACCTCAACGCACTGCACATCTATCGACACCCGCCTATACATATACGCCAGCCATGCCTCCTGCGGCGGAGCCAAGCATCCTGCGGCACCTGCCACCCGACATGTCTGCGCTCAGCGACTCCTCGCAGTCCTTCTCGCTGTCATTCCAGATCCCCGATGCGGACGGAGACGACCTCATGCGCACCGACCTGGGCATGGGTATGGGTATGGGCATGGGCATGACGGCCGGGGAGAGCGACTTCTCGTTTGGATTCGGCTCGGGCGCTGATGCTAGATTCGATTTCGCCGGCGCAGGAGCTCGACTGGGTGTGCACGACGATCAGAGCATGGCCTGGGATATCACGCGGGACGAAATCGCTCCCGCTCTGCGCTCGCCGGTAAAGGTCACCCTACGCACGCCGCGCCGCGCCAAACAGACGCTACTGCCGACGACGAGGGACAATGTAGAGCTGCAACAGCAGACTGAGCAGGAGGAGGAGGAGGAGGAGAAAGAGTTTAGGGCTGCCATGCAGGCGCAATCGTCTCCGCTAGGCCATTGCGCGCCTGCCCTGGACGATGTCTCTATGTCATACACCGATTCCCCGGCAGCAGAGCTACCTGTTTCTGTACGCGGCGTTGCCGAAGACCGCACGTCGACGCCCAGAGCTCAATCACCGACACCGGAGGCACAAATATCGCCATCGCCATTCCAAGCATCCATTCCTGAATCCCACATGGCGACGACTGAGGCTCCTGTATCATCACTCGAGAACCACACATCATCGCCCGCAGATAATGTGGCGGAGGACACAACACCTTTCATTCCAGAAGAGCAGCACGAACTGCTGCCTCCGGACGAAGTCGCTATGGTGCACCAGGCCGACTCGCCACCCGAACCTGCTGAGATTGCTGTGGATGAAAATCAAGAAAATAAGCCTATTGAAACGATCCCTGGTACCAGCAAACCAAAGGTACGCACAAAGATCTGCTCTCTTTTGTGTCCGTTCCGGCTCATGCTAGACGTCCACTATTGTAGCCAACTTCGAAGCCGCCGAAATCAAAGTCCATTGCCCGGCAGACTGGTGCTGCTGGGATTCCGAAACTCAGTTCGATGAAGGGGCCGGTCAAGGGAACTTCCACAACTTCTGCAAGGCCGGTGGTGGCTAGAACTGCAAAGCCCAAACCTGTTCCGGTACCAGTGCCCAAACTGCAGCCGCGTCCGGCCGCGGAAAGTACACCATCGACCACACAGGCTCCGGAGCCGCAGCAGGTTTCCGACGACCAAAGCGTGGATGCGTATGTGCACAACCCCTTCGAGGTCTTGTTACTAACGTGCAGGAACAGAAAGGAGTCCATAGTAGACGTGGAACACAAGGAATCAGATGTGTGCGTGCCTGCCTGCAGTTGTCTGTCAACTCCACAATTGCTGATGATGCACCCAGCAGAAAGGAGGAGTTTTCAGAGTTGCGCGAAGCATCTGCTGTGGTTGCTGATGTCGAGATGGTTCCGCCTCTTGAGTATGACTATGTCATTATTTCGAAGCGCCCACGTCTGACATCTAGTGCAGGGAAGACAACAGAACAGCATCTCCACATTCAGTCACGGATGACAACACCGTTGCTTTGGTCCACGATGAAGAAGAAAAGCCGCCATCTGCCTCAGATACGGTATCACCAGTCCAGGACCGGACATTCGACGAGGCTGACAACCAGAATGGAGGAGTCGAGTCCACAGCAATCGATCCAGCCGAACCCGAAATGACCGCCCCGGACAACACCCCGCTCACGCTCTCGCAACTCTCACCCCGGAAAGTGGCATCGGTGAGGGAGTCAGTCCCGATGACGGCACGGACTAGTACGAAACGATCTGCATCTGCGGCAGCACTGTCCACTGCGGCCACTGGGGATCCGAAAGCTGTGTCAAAGAAGGCCAAGATTGATGTTGTACCACCCAAGCCGAAGCCGAAGCCGCGCCTGC